ATATGTACTCAAAGTATAACTTGAGCATTTGATTAATAATAATTGTTCCACATGTTTTCCTTCATCAAGTTCCTTCAATATGTGCTATATTGAATCTATCTTTTATTTTCTCAACAACAAACTTACAAACTCAACTGGGTGAATGATAGTGCCACAGTCCTAGTAAAGTACAGGTGCATGGTTCCATTCTCTTTAGGAAGAAATTACACTAATCAAGCTCTTTGTGATATGATTCCTACGTTAGTTTGCCATTTATTATTAGGAAGGCCATGGATTTTTGATCAAAGAACTGTATATGAGGGGTTTGAACATACATATACTTTTGATTTTGGAGGAAAACAAAATGTGCTCAAGCTACTTCGAATTTTAGAGTTTTCCAAGAACAAGAAGGGTGATCTAAATGTTCTGACTATGAAACGATTTGAAATAGCAAGGAAGGAGCAAAGAATAATAATTATTTTGCTGGGAAGAGAGGCAAAACTTGATGGTGAGGAGGTGTCGGGTATAGTACAACCATTGTTGGAGGAATTTATAGATTTGATGCCGAAAGAGCTGCCACAACAACTTTCGCCTATGTGAGAGATCCCATGCCATTGACTTGATACCAAGTTCATCCTTCACTACAACAAAAATAGTCATTTGCAATATTAAAAAGACAACAAATGTTGCCAAAAGGGTCTTTTGGCAACATTTTAGTAAGTGAATGTTGCATTGGTTAATATAAATGAGTTTTGGCAACGTTTTTTAGAAAAATGTTGCGGTAGACACCTTTAGCAACGTTTATTGAGTGTTGCGGAAGGTTTTATCTTTAGCAACGTTTAATAAACGTTGCGAAAGTTAAAACTTTCGCAACGTTTATCAAACATTACCAAAAATCACCTTCAGCTAACGTTTATCAAACGTTGCGAAAAGTCTTACCTTTAGTAATGTTTGGCACCTTTAGCAACGTTTGTCAAATATTGCTAAAGGTAAGACTTTTCGTAACATTTGATAAATGTTGCTAAAGGTGATTTTTGGCAACATTTGATAAATGTTACGAAATGTGACTTTTAGCAACATTTATCAAACGTTGCTAAAGGTGAGACTTTTCGCAGCGTTTGATAAACGTTGCGAAATGTGACCTTTAGCAACGTTTATCAAAAATTGCGAAAAGTCTCATCTTTAGCCACGTTTGTCAAACATTGCAAATAAATAGTATTCTAGCCCGAATGACATTCCAAATTAAATTATATATCTCATTTATGCCTCCCTCATTCCTCTCTCCACGGTTTCTTTCCTTCCAGTTCCACCTCTGAATCCGTTTTCCGCTACCGTTCGGCCACCAAAATCGCTGGACATTGGTCCCAACGGATTGCCCTTAACATCTTCTACAATTTCCACCCAACATCTCCCAAAATTGTCTAGTAATACGGCTAAAATCAACCTAGAAAACCAGCAACCTGAAAATGTGAAAACTGTCGAAATCGTCTCCTTTTACATCTTCAATCTCCCACTCTAAAAACACGAAGTACGATTCAATTCGTATCAAAAATTTCAACTGGTGAGTCTCTAATATTTGAAGCCCCAAATCCATAATTTGTTTGAAGTAAGTGACTATTTAATTGCGGTACTGTTCTTGTTGAAATTGATACCTGCAACTCTACGTTTGTTATCATTGATTGTAGTATCACACAAGATGCCATTGTAGTTTCTACAAAGATTGTTACCCTTCCAGGTATCAATAATGTGCAAGGGGTCATAAGTTATTATTTTTTTAAACCTTTGGATTACTTTAATGGCCAGTTTGAGTTCTAGAGGGAGAGGACTAGGTGGTTGTGGTGGAGGTTTTGGAGGTGGAGGTGGTGGTGGAGGTTTTGGAGGGTATTCAAGTAGGGAAGGAGGGCATTTAGGCAGGGGAGGGGGAAGTATAGTTTCAGGGGGTGATTCGGGAGGTTCAGGACAATCCTTCAATGCAACTTGCCCTATTTCTCCACGTATGAACTTGTGAAAGACTAGAATAAGCCTCGACAATAATTGGTCATCTTTTTTGCCATATGTTGTCATCCTTTTTGCTAATGCCCAGAGTTGAGGGTTGGCATTGTTCTTATGTTGAGTGAAAAATTGGATTTCAAAGAAGCAGAGGGTAGATTATTTAGCCTCTGTTTGGATGAATTAATAAATGGTTTAATTTAGAACTAGAAAGAAATGAATAATTGATAAGTGGATAGTAGTTGTGGTGGTCTTTAGAATGTGTATTTGATAAATAAATTTGACTATTATGTATGATTTATAAATTAGCCAAACAGAAGCTTAGTATCTCTGAACTTTGATGAATTTTGTCTTCAAATGAAGCACTTATTGCAGATTTGTTTCATATGCTCATGAGATATGGCATTTTCCCTAGCTGGGAAAAGATGGTTGTCGATGCTAAAGATTTCAATAGTTTGTCAACCGATGTGGTTCTGTTTAAGTTGGGATGGCACGTAGCAGTCTCACATAATTTACTTTGTTAGAAATAAGCCCAAGGACAAGAGTAACATGCTAGATTTCATACTATGGTAGTTATTCTCACAAATTGAATATGACATTGTGTTTATTATTAAACATGTAAATGCAAGAAACTAGGTGAGGTTTTAACAACAGAAAAGCGTATGCCCCCCAGTTTTAGGTGGTGGTATTAGGTGCACCATGGATTGTGCCAATAGATTTAGACCAATTGGGGGATAAAGCTGCAGATAAGTCCAAACTCCCTTTTTTATTACTATATTGAAAATTATTTATAATAGAATATAAAATCACTTTTGTATTTATATACCATTTGTACATATTATATTGAAAATTATCCTATTTAGCAATATAAAATCTCTTGATTTGTATTTAGCAAAAAGGATGAACTTGTGAAAGACTAGAATAAATTATAGTTTACTTTGGCTACCTTGCTTGATATATTTGGCTAACTCTGCTTCTTTTTTGCATGCCTTTAACTTGATAAAGCCTATAGCATCTGTGAAGTTGTCCATTACATTGAGTTTGTCTTCAGATTTGCCAGAGAATGTCATTGGTGATGAAAAGCGGCTAATGCAAGTTCTTTTAAATGCAGTGGAAATGCTATGAAGTTGATGGAGAACAAGGTGATCAAGGTGCTGACCAAGTTGATGCTCCCAAATATTCTCAAGATCCTTTGCAAGGAATTGGCGGTCCAATATTAGGGCAAAGACAAAGAGGATGAAA